CTGGCTCCTGGCTTCAGATCAGTGCAGCGCCGGCCATAGCGGTAATTATTAGGGGAGTGAACCAACGGAGGAAGACCTTTCTCTTTCTCTCTCACTGTCTATAACCTCTCTCTTTCTCTCTCTCTTGTCCAACTCTATCTGTCAAAACAAAAAAAAAAGAATAGAGAATGCAGAGATTGGGCAATAGGTGGGCCGTTACAAGAAGGATGTTTTTAATTTTTTAACTCATTTATCGAGAGGCGGGGTGAGGATATGCTCCCATCTGCTGGCTGACTTCCCCAAATGTCCACAGTGACATGACTGGTGCTGGGCTGGGGCTGAAGTTGGGAGCTGGGAACACAGTTCAGGTCTCCATGTGGGTGGCAGGAACCCAATCACTTGAGCCATCAAAGTTGCCTTTCCAAAAAAAAAAAAAAAAAAAAAAAAAAAAGACCTAAATGAAAGATCTCTGTGAGTGAGATCCCAGTGGAAAGATGGGCCATCAAAGAAGGAGGTACCTTTCTCTGAAGGGAGGAGAGACTTCCACTTTGACTATGACCTCCTTTAAATAAGATCGGAGTCGGCAAACTCAAAAGGCTTCCATAGCCTTGGCAACTCATGACAAGAGCCTAGGTGATTACTTTTGCCATAAAAGAGTCTCAATTTGCTAAGTGAACAACAGGAGTCACTGTGCACTTACTCCTCATGTAGAATCTCTGTCCTTAATGTGTTGTTCAATGTGAATTAATGCTATAAGTAGTACTGAAACAGTATTTTACACTTTGTGTTTCTGTGTGGGTGCAAACTGTTGAAATCTTTACTTAATATATACTAAATTGATCTTCTGTATATAAAGATAATTGAAAATGAATCTTGATGTAATGGAATTGGAGAGGGAGTGGGAGATGGGAGGGTTGCAGGTGGGAGGGAAGTTATGAGGGGGGATGCCATTGTAATCCAAAAACTGTACTTTGGAAATTTATATTTATTAAGTAAAAGTTAAAAAAAAGTTACCTTCCAAGGTCTACATTAGCAGATGGCTGGAGTCTGGAGCTGGGGCCAGTGATTGAGCCCATGTTCTCCGATGTGGTCCCCGAGTCTTAACTGCAAGGCTAAATATCCACTCTTGGCAGTTGTGGTTTTGATTTTAAAGAAGGAATATTAAAGAGGAAGTTTATTTTTAAATTTGTATATCATAAATTTCTGTGACATTGTGAAGTTCAAAAGTACCTTCCCCACAGTGGTCTGAACACGCTCCATATCTCTGGATGTGTTTACCAAACGCTTCACACGGATCTGGGGTTTGGGTGTGTCCCAGGCCCAGGAGAATGCTGGCATGAAACTGATATAGAGAATCTCGTCATGTCTCCGTGACTATCAGAACTTCTTGGCATTTTTCCCCCTGGCAAATTAAAGAACACAATTTGATTTTGATACCCAGACCTCACACTCCAACACACTGCAAGGTGAAGACATTTCTGGTTTCGTAGTGTGTTGATTAAACGTTCATTCCTTGGGTCATCTCTGACTACTCCCCTGGAAGGTTGGCCCATTCAGATTACTATAGGAGATGATGATTCATATTTGAAAATTGAGTCAAGGAGTACACATTTGGCCTAATGGTTAAGATTCTCACATCACATTCCCTATTGGAATACCTGGGTTTAATGCCCAGCCCTGCCCCTGTCTCCAGCTTCCTGCTAATGCAGACCCTAAGAGGCCACAGTGATGGCCTGAGTGATTATATTCCTGCCACCCATGGAGAAAACCTGGATTCAGTTCCAGGTTCCTGACCTCAGCCATAGGCCATTGTGGGTATTTGGGGAGTGAACCAATAGATGGGAGTTCTATTTGTCTTTCTCACTCTCTTTACTTCTCAAATAACTATTATATAATTTATATGTATTTATATATACATTTACAAAAGACATGAATCAAGAATTTCTGGGACAAGAAAAAAAATACCCCCCATTCAGCTTTTAAGGCACATGCAGATAATTCTTGGTGATCTGATTCTGGAGTTGTCCTTTCTCCTAAGCCCTCTTTGCATGGTCAGAATGGGGATATCTATGAATGAGATTTGAATGTGGTTCACATTGGGTGTACCACTTGAATGAATTGGCGTGTGTGTATTTGCTGAGGTAGATTCAGCAGCTTTGTTTAGGAAGAGAAACCCAAGAGAGCAGTGTGAAAATATTTCTTGTGTCCCTATGAGACACCAAGTGCTTTCCTTTATCAGTGTGTTCTCAAAGCAATCCACAGAGGCATAGAAATGTGTGTAGTTATGTGGCTCAAATGTGGGTTTGAACCCTGGTCTTAGCCACTGCTTTGCCCCAGAGGTGTAGGCCGTAGAGGGAAACCAATGGTTTTGCTCTCCAGGCCCCACTGCTCCAAGGGCAAACCTAGTCCAGAAGACTCTACCTTCAGTAACCTTTCCGTTTCCTCCTGTCCAGTGCTGGCCCAGTGCTCCTACCCCGATCCAGGAGCTTACCTAAGGGCTCTGGAGTAAGACCATGCTAAGGGGATTCAGTCATTTTGATTTTATTACTTCATTCCATTCATCTTATTCCTTCATTAGTACTCTTTTCCATTCATCAAGGTGATGATAGCCCTTCTGAATTAAACATGGTTTCTCTTAGGAGAGAGCTCAAAGGAATCATGGAAATCAGACAAAGTGACACAGTAGCTACTGGCAGAAGGAAGCCCACTATAGGCATTGGCAGGTGATCCCAGCATCACAGCAGAGCCATGTGGAGGCAGATTGCTGTGCACAGAAGTTATGGGATCCTACTGGGCTGAAGTTCTGCCCTGGTGGCTCAGGGTGGAGGTTGGGGTGGCCCCAGTAGCATTTAAAGAGCAGACAGGACTCCTCTAGAGAGAAAGAGGCTGATGTGAAGATGGCCCCTCTATGTGAGCTGGAAGGCCACAAGGTTTGAGAGATGTCATTGTATAAAGCCTTTGTCCAGATGGTGTCCAATAAGATGTCTGTCCTCTGATCTGGACAGAAGTCCCAAGTTTCTTGAGCTTTCCAGTTGAGTTCAACAATCTGTTACATGCAAGGTTCCATGCTAGGTACCAGCTGCATTGGCTTCAAGATTCCTTGGTGTTTATAGGTCAGCTTCTATATCCAGCTGCAGGATCCTCCATCTCCTTGCAGCCACTGAGAATCTGACAGGGGCGGTGTAGTGCTTGGCCACGTGGTGCTTGCACACCTAGGGCTCTATTTCTGTTGCTCCCCTGACAGTGCTCTCACCATGGTGACTCACGGTGTCTGTTCACCATAGCTGCTGGGATAGTGTAGTTCTGTCTTCCTTTTAGCTTCCCAGCAGCAGCTACACTGTGACCACGGACTCCCTGAGTTATCTTTCAATTTTATTGCCTAACACATCCTGGACTTCCCTACTATTCAAACTCTCTCAAGTAGCCCTTTTTAAAAGAATTGTTTTAAATTTTATTTAAAGGAAGAAAGGGAGGGAGGAAAGGAGGAAGAGAGACATGTAGCTTTTCTTTACTAGTTCATACCCCAAATGCCCACAACAGCCAGAGCTGTGAGAGAGAGAGAGAGAAAGAGATTGATTGATTCAGAGAGAGAGATAGATCTGCTCTCTACTAGTTCACACACCAGATGCCTGCAACAGCCAGGACTGAGCCAGGCCAAAGCAGGAGCTGGGAACTCAACCTGGGTCTCCCATGTGAATAGCAGGGACCCAAATACTAGAGCCACTACCTGCTGTCTTCCAGGGTGTGTATTAGCAGGAAACTGGAATTGGGAGTGGAGCCAGGATGTGACCCCAGGCACTCTAGTACTGGATGTGGGTGTCCCAAGTGTTGTCTTAACCGCTGTGTCAAATCAAATGCTCACCCATCTTAAATAACCTTCTAACAATTTCTTTCTCATCCCTTTTTATTTGACTGCTTTATTTCTAGTTTTCATATTCTTTGAGTCATGATCCAAATGAAGTCCATCTATTACAGTTATTTCATATGTCTCTTAAATCTCTCTTAATCAATAGATTGGAAGGTATTTTCTGTAAATGGCTGGATAATTAATATTTCTGTCTTTGAAGGCCAGATACTCTGTCACAACTACTCAAGTCTGACATTTTACCATGAAAGCAGCTATAGATAATAGATACATGAATTGACATGGCTGTGCGCCAGTGAAGCCTCATTTACAGAAATGGTATGGTGGCTGGATGTGGCTCATTGACCATGGTTTGTTGACCCCTGTTTTAATCTATACATGCTCTATTTCTTCTATTTCCCCTGTGCAGTTGCTTGTTGAAGACATTGTGTCATTTATTGCATGGAGTTTTCCACAGCCTGGATCCTACTGATCGCAGGACCCTCTGTGCTCTGCATTTGCTGTAAGTTTTTGTGGATCTACAGGCACCATCAGACTCAGTTATGATGTTTTAACAAGAAGCCGGTTGTTTGCTCTTCTGTCACCCAGTGCATACGGTGAAGTTGACTGTCCTTTTATGATGCTGGTGATGACCATTGCCTAGATCTGTTAGTCCATTAGGATGGTGTTTGTAATTATGTTCTCCCTTCTCCTTTACTAGCATGGACCTTCCTAGAAAAGAAATTTTCCCTCATCAGCTGTCTCTTACCCGGGTATGTGTTTTCTATAGGAGAGGCAGGAACAGTGTTTGATTATTTCTCATTACTTGCCAGCTTCAAAATAGTGAATCAGTTACCCAGTATCCTCCAGAGTCAACCGGTGAGTCAGCGCGTTGTATTGCCTGTGCTGTTTGTGTGTGTGGGGAACTTACTCAATGTGTCACCGCCATCTTCAGGGAGTCCCTCAGGGGGTTGATGCATTCTTTGCGTTCAGGTAGAAAGAGCTGTTTAGCACATATTGCGTGATTCCTGCTCTGCATGGTTCTTTTCAGAGGGACACAGTGTTTAGAGAGTACAACCTGGAAGAGAAGGTGCTCATGGCTGCTGAGTCTATCTTTATTTCTAGGCTTTTGCAGTAAACAGATCTAGGAAATGGTGTTCTAAAGTTAAAAATCACTGTAGGCACCGGCGCCGTGGCTCACTAGGCTAATCCTCCGCCTAGCAGCGCCGGCACACAGGGTTCTAGTCCTGGTCGGGGCACCGGATTCTGTCCCGGCTGCCCCTCTTCCAGGCCAGCTCTCTGCTGTGGCCAGGGAGTGCAGTGGAGGATGGCCCAAGTCACTGGGCCCTGCACCCCATGGGAGAACAGGATAGGCACCTGGCTCCTGCCTTCAGATCAGTGCGGTGTGCCGGCGGCCATTGGAGGGTGAACCAATGGCAAAAGGAAGACCTTTCTCTCTGTCTCTCTGTCTCTCTCTCTTTCACCGTCTAACTCTGCCTGTCAAAAAAAAAAAAAAGAAAGAAAGAAAGAAAGAAAGAAAGAAAGAAAGAAAACAAAAAACAAACACACAAAAAAGATTCCTCCTGCATTTTATAAGTTGAAGGGTATTAATTTACACAACACATTTAATTGAGCGTGCTGTGTGCTAGACATTATGCTGGGCTCTGAGATAAAGGGGAGACATGATAGAATCAGTCTCTGCTCCTGTGGAACTCTTACCTCCTGGGCTGATACACACAGGAAAGAAACACAACTCCTTCACTGCATTCTAAGTATGATGCATGCTGTCAGGGAGAAGTAAGTGCTGTCATGAGAGATTAAGGAGGAAAACTGACATAGTCTGGAGCTATCAGGAAGGCTTCTCTTAAGAGGGTAAAGTTTCATCTGTTGTTTATAGAGGATAGCAGGAGTACCTGAGCAAAGGGCAGGTACCAGGAAGGGAGTCCCAGGCAGTGGGAGTGAGATGTGTGAATGTTTAGAGAGGACAAGAGCATGACTTTCTGGAGGAGCTATGAGATAGCCATTGTGGGAGATACAGAGGGAATCTGACAAGACTTGGCTGAGGGGTAGGGAGAATGTGAGCCTTATCCTAAGAATAGGAGGAAGCAGCTTCAGGGTTTTGGGTCTGGGATTAGCATTAACAGATGACTGTTTCAGAGACAGTTGTGGCTAGGATTTGTGGTGAATGGCTTGGAGAGAACTGACAGGGTTGGCTCTTGAGCTGTATCCATGGAGGGATAGGTAGTTGCAGACTCACAGAGAGGAAGAATGGAATGTTATCTTCAGGAAGTAGGATGGGCAGTTGATTGTTTCTGGAAGGTGAAGGAAGAAGGAAGCCTTCTGTTGAACATGACTTTTAAACTATGGAAGTTTTCATAGTTTGTTAAAGGGTTTTCCAGTTTGTTAGGAGTTTGCCTCTTGGACAGCATGATTACTGTAAGTATCATTCTAAACTTTGTAAACATTGCCCCCCTTCTGAGACTCCATCTGGCTATATGTTCAAAAAGCATGGCTCTCACTACCTTTACTTATGTGGAACAGTGGACAATCTATCCAAAAGATATTTTACAATTACAATGGACAGAATTGAAATTCTTTTGAGATACCAAAACTTGGTTTTCTCCCAACTAAATTAGAATACTAGTTCTAACACAAAATGACCTGAATGGGGTGCAGAGTTTAGTTGACATTTAGAGATGTCCAAATAAATTCAGGTCTTGAAGATTGCTTCTCTCCAAAAACATAGTCTCTGAACTCACTGTGGCTAATAAAAAATTAAAAGAGAAAGAAGAGTCATCAAGGCTCAGGCTTCTTCCCCCAACTCTTGCTCCCCCACTCCTTCTCCTCCTCTGCCTCCCAATCCCACACTTGCTGGGCTTCCCTTCTACTCTTAGGACCCTGAAGCTCATACTGATTTCCCTGTTCCTACAAAACATGTTCAGACTCACCCTTTCAAGCTCCATTTGAATAACCAGGGTATTCTCTCAAATATTTCCTGTATACCCTGAACAAAGTCTGAGCTAGGGCTATAGCTGTGAGTTCTCCAAGCTTAATGAAGATCTTTGTAAATTGATTGAAGAATTTCAAATTGTTATACAAACTTAGGAACTTGTTTGTGTGACCTTTCTCAATTAATACATATCCTCACTGACTAAGGTCAGGCACAACACTGGATGGCAAAGTAGGTTGGAACATTCCTCTAAGGAACCTCCAGTGCAATATGTTACCCACCAGGAAAATAAAAAAAAAAAAAAAAAAAAAAAAAAAAAAAACAAAAACAAGAAGTTACCAAAAATCATTCTTAAGCATTCACTAAACCAGCAGGCTAGAAAAGATCCAAGCCTGCACCCTAAAGAAAGGTGGAATAGTTTATAAGGAAAACTCTGAATGCCTCCTTCAAATGTGATAGCTACCAAAATGTCTTTGAGTTTTATGTTTGTAAGTGGCTTAGTTGAAGATCTTGCCATTATACTTAGACAGCCTCTACTTAATAGGGAAACAGTGCTCACCTCCCTTTTAATTAACCTTATGAACTAAGTAACCTTAAAGCAAGGAAAATAGAGCTTCCACCACTTTCTACCCCTCTTAACAGAACATGGCAATCTGACATCATAAAACCAGTCTTCTAGGGGTCTTCTACTACTACAGAAAGCATGGAGAGGGGAGAGAATTTGTGTACAATTAAAATGTGCCAAACAACCCCATGAGAAACAATTTTTCATGTCCTCTATGGACCAAGGGTCTCTAAGGAAACAGAGGATTGTGTATGGCCATACCACCCTGAATGCTCCGAATCTCGTCTGACCTTGGAAACAGAGGATCAGAATTCTGATCTTTCCCCTTCATCTTTTGTGTGAACCTCCCCAATGATCAGAGAGGAGATTCTTGGTGTGCTCTCTGACACCAGAGCAGCATTCTCTGTGCTGAACCGCACACATCTCAAGCAGCCCTTTTCTTGGAGGGCTAGGGGGAGTTTCTAATACACCTTCAGCAGTGTTTAAATCCTTACTTTTGCTTTTTCAATTAGATCCTCTCCGGGAGGACAGTCATTCCTTTTTTTAAATTTTTTTAATTTTTTTTTTTTTATTTTTTGACAGGCAGAATGGGCAGTGACAGAGAGAGAAGAGAGAACGGTCTTCCTTTACCATTGGTTCACTCTCTAATGGCTGCTGCAGCTGGCGCACTGTGGCCGGTGCACCATGCTGATCCGAAGCCAGGAGCCAGGTGCTTCTCCTGGTCTCCCATGCGGGTGCAGGACCCAAGGACTTGGGCCATCCTCCACTGCCCTCCCGGGCCACAGCAGAGAGCTGGCCTGGAAGAGAGGCAACTGGGACAGAATCCGGTGCCCTGACTGGGACTAGAACCCGGTGTGCCGGCGCCACAGCTGGAGGATTAGCCTATTGAGCCACAGCGCCAGCCAGTCATTCCTTTTTAGTTCTTTCCTCAGCACCAGTTCACTTACTTAGAAGAGACTTGGAAAGATAGCAGGCTATCATTTCATTTTCCTTGAAGGAGAGATAATTCTTGGAATTGACTTACCCTCCACTTTTAACTGACAACGCTGAACATTTTTTCTGCACCGTTGGCCATTTTTATCCTTAACCTAAAGAATGAAAATGCTGAGGGTTTGGCTATTTTTTCAGAGAGGTTCTTGAGGAACTCTGGGTTCAGTCCACAATGGACACTGAACAAGTCCATTTGACTGCATTGACAAAGATTCAAATTGACCAAATGAGCTCCTTTCTTAGAGAATTTCCACTAAACCCTGAAATTCTTACAGGAATTATAAGAAGAATAAGAAATTATAGAAGAATAAGAAAAATCCAAGGATCTTGCACCAACCCCTCTAGCTCTTCTGGCCTTCCTGTAGTGAAACCAAATGGATGAGGGTGGAGATTTGTACATACCTCAAAGTCATCAATACTATTGGCATTCCATGACACCTCATCATTCCAAATCCCATGCTTTGTATCCCATTGAATGCATTTTTCAGTGATAGACCATGTAGTGTGTGCTGTGAAGTCCAAGAGGCAATTTTTATTTACCTCTACGTGGGAAGAGCAACACTGTGAGTACACCTGGATGGTAGTGCCTTGAGGATATACTGAAAGCCCCTCACAGATGCTGAAGGCAGGTTGGACAGATGCTTCTTTCCCTTGGGACTGACTCTCTCCTGTAGTACATTGGTGAGCTCTTTATTCCTCTTCTGAAGAAGTCTGTGAACATGATAGCATTCCTTCCCTTAAACTTCTCCCAGACAAAAACCACAAAGTTTTCAGCAAAAAACTCCTATATACCCCGGAATATTTAGGACACTGGATATCAAACCAAGAACTTCATTTGGATCCTCATACACTTAAAGGCATAGTAAACTATTCTCAATCTCAGACCAAGAGATGATTACAAGGGTTTTTGGGCCCTGCATGATACTGTGGAAATGGGATACCCATGTTTTCTTTGAAAGTTTATCCCTTAAACACCTCTCTGAAAGCAAACAAACCATGTCCCCTGGACTGTGGAGAG